TCTGCTTCAGCTCTTGCCTCGAGTCCCTGCCTTGAGTTCCTGCCCTGACTTCTGTCAGTGATGGATTGTGACCTGGGAGTTGTAAGCTGAAATAAACCCTTCCCGTTCCGAATTGCTTTTGGTCAGGGTGTTTTTATAGCAATAGGAAGCGAACTAGAACGCCCAGAAAGCAAATGAAGTGGGTGCAAAGAAGGAACAAGAAACGGGGTACACTGCTGAGTGCGAGAGTGGGATAGAGACAGGCAGGCTGCAGTCAAAACCTGGGGTGATGGAGAGGCAGATGTGGCCCAGTGAGTAGGAGACAGAAGGGACCCCAGAGGCCAAGACGCACTGCCCTGTGTCTTCCAGGGAACTGCCCCCACCACCAGGATCTGTGGGACCCTAGAGCCACCTCCCACAGCTGGGTGGGGCATTCTTCGCAGTGCTCCCTTCAAGTTACTCTGGGTTTGCTATTTTTTATACAGAGAGTTCTCAATTCCTGAGTGGGCGGCACTAATAGGAGAGCGTAGGAAGGTGAGAAGGAAGAGCACATCTTTATTAAAAGACTGGGCTTGGACCGAGGGCTTTTTCCTCCTCATTCCTGAGGGAGGACACTTCCTTTTCTCCCATTCTGAGGAAGTTCTGGCTCATTGAATTTTTCTGGGATTTTTATACTATTTGGGGTGTGTGTGTGTGTGTGCGCACAAATGCCATGGTGTGCATGTGGAAGTCAGAGGACAACTTGCAAGGGTCCGTTCTCCCAAGGGTCCGTTCTCCCTTTCTACCATGTGGGTTCCAGGGATCTAAGTCAGGTCGGTAGGCTTGGTGGCAAGTACCCACTGAGCCATCTCACCCGCCCTCTCCTTGCATTTTCTCCTTTTAGCTCCTTTCCTGGTCTGTTTATTCACCAGCTCCTTACTCATTATTACTATCATTATTGGTTTGAATCCCACCTCGGCCACCTGCTGGTATTTGTTCTCGGCCAGGCTTCTTAATCCTTCTGTGCTTCTGTTTCTAAATATGTAAGTAGGGACTGTTAAAGGCAACCTTGTCATGAGGGTGTTGGGAGGATTAAATGAGTCAGAAATGTGCTTGGCATAGAAGGACTTCATATATGTGGGTTCTTGATCTTTAAATTCTGACCACACCCTGGCTATGTGCTGGGCCTGAAGCACCTGGAGTTGAACAAAACAAGACATTAGCTCTCCAAACACCTAGCATTCAATAAGAGTAGCACTGAATGGATTAATTCCAGAAGAGACAATGTATTGTGACTTTGCTAGTGGGAGGGTCCAAGCACTGTAGGAGGAGGGAGTGACTGGAGTGCAGGAGCAATTATGGAAGGCTTCACAGCACAGAGTTTTGAAGGATGAAGAGGAGTTTACATCCTCTGGGAAAAAGATGTCAATGTCCAGGAGGGAACAGTGGGGGGGCGGGCAGGAAGAATCTTGGCTGTGGCTTCAAGCATGTGGCTGGAGGCATGGTGATGCTGGGTGAGAGGCAGAGTAACAGGTGGGGGAAAATGGGAAAAGTATTAGAAATACTTTTATTAAGTATTCCTAAATTAGGCGTTCCTAACTTACCGAGATATTTAGAGAAAAGTATTTTGCCCCCTTCTGGCTACAAAAAGAAGGGGAACAGAATATTAGGGGATCTTCCCTTGTTTATTTTTTTTTAGATATTTATTTTAATCTTATGTGGATGAGTGTTTTGCCTGTATGTATGTTATATAAGTGCACCCATGTTGTGCAATGCTTGTGGA